AAAATGAAAATCATCTAGCAAAAAGTTAAAGAAAACGTTCAGGGCAAAATGTGAAGGGGATGATGGACGAATAGAAGATAAGTCCCTGAAAAACAGACTATTCTGCCAGACTGAGTGAAGACTGAATGTATTAGGAGAATGAAACTCTTATACCTGATCCTGTATATGACGACATGGGATATGAACAAATTAATTATTGCTTAATTGCATAATATATAAGGTGCTGACCTGCTTTATCACAAGGACTCTTGACTCTCGTGTACTTTTCTCTTCATTTTAGTTATTTTATTGCCTTTTGTCCCATATACTTAGCATTCCACATAAGGATGTATTTCTAGATTTTAATTCCCATTTTAACCCAATTTCACCCCTACAAACATGACGTTTAAAAGCTAAAGGCCAGGGGCACCTGAGTGGCTCAGTCAGTTAAGCAGCTGCCTTTGGCTCAGGTCATGATCTCAGGGTCCTGGGGTCGAGCCCCAAGTCAGGCTCCCTGCCCAGCAGGGAGTGTGCTTCTCCCTATCTCTCTGCGGCTCCCCCACCCCCTGCTCTCTCTCTCTCAAATAAATAAAATCTTAGAAAAAAAGCTAAAGCCCATTTAAGCACTTTGTATGAGGGAGAGAGTTTGTGTCCATGAAATGTACAATAACTGGTGTATTTTTTCTGAAAGAAAAAAAACACATCGATAACAGCCACTGTCATTACCTTCACTAAAACGAGACAAGAGCAACAATAGCTACATAAATTGGTGTACAGCTCCAGACAATGATTTTGGCAATATTTCAGTGCCATCAAATGGCTTATTTCCCTCTTTTGATTCTACTTTTGAGAATCTAATCTAAGGCCATAATCTATATCCTCCTATATTTTTACCCAGTGCATGAGGAAAGCCCCTTTACACACAGAGAGGCAGCATGGCCCAGTGGTTAAGCCAGGGCTCAATTCTGACTCCACCACTAGGCTAAAAGCATGATGTTGAGCAAGTTACTTAAATGCTGTGCCTCAGTTTCATCATCTTTGATATGGAGATAATCTTCATTTACCCCAGGGTCTTTGTGAGGATTACATGAGGTAATAAGTGTAAATCACTTCCACTAGTGAATTTAAAAAATGCTCACTGTTACCATTATTATTTTCATAACAGGACAATTATAATAGCAAAAACAACAAGAAGAAAAAGGAAGAGCCCCGATGCTCCACAATACAAGATTGGTTGCATGAACTCTGGTCCATCCACTCAAGGGCAAAGTCATTAAATTTCATCAGAGTACACAGTGTAGCACAGGGACTAAGTCCTACAAGCATTCGATGCAATCTGGATTTCATTATGAAAAACACATAAGATACACACTGGGTAACATTTTAATATCACAAAAATTGGAATGTGTTTTATAGGTCAAGGGCCTGTCACAGTTTAATGGGTAGTGTGTGATGCATCTTATATTTGATGCAGTTTGTGGTTGGTAGAATGATAACCTTCCAAAGATGTCCATGTCCTAATAGCCAAAATCTGTCCATGCTACCTTCTATGGGAAAATGAACTTTGTAGATGGGATTAAATTAAGGAGTTTGAGATGGGGAGATTATTCAGGATTATCCAAATGAACCTGATGTAATCACAAGGGGCCTTACAAGAGGGAGGCAAAGGGGTTTAGAGTTGGTAGTAGATGTGATGACAGCAGAGGTTGGAATGATTAGAAGGGGCCAGGAGTCAAGAAATGCATGCAACTTCTAGCAGCTGAAAATGGCTAACAACTTCTCCTGAAACCTCTAGAAGGAAATAGCTTTGCTGACACCTTGACTAATTCTAAACTTCTGACCTCCAGTGAGACTAATTAGCCCAGTGAGACTAATTCTGGACTTCTCACTTCCAAACCTGTCAGATAATAAGCATGTGTTATTTTAAGCTCCTAGGTTTGTGGTAATTTGTTACAGCAGCAATAGGAACCTAATACATAGTCAAATTGGGTACAATAAGGCTCTTTTTTACTTCTAGGCAATGTTAGGCCCTCAGTGCTTTCTGAATACCACTTGACAGCATAAGAGGCAATCAATAAAAGCTACTGAATGAACACTGAATGGAATAGTATACAACTATCAAAATGTTTACAAATGGAAAATATGTTATTTAAAAAAATAACAGTTTGAATTTCAGTGAAATCACAGTTCACTAAAGTGGGAATACATCAAATTCTGCATATAAAAATTCCAGCAGAAAATAAATTAAAAATAGTAATAGTGACTGTTTCTGCACGTCGGCACTATAAAGATGACCTCTACTTTTTCTTCTTTACATGTCTGCAAATTTTCTATAATGAACAGGTATTGTTTTCATAATGGGAGAAAGCACATCAATTTCACTTAAAAAGTAGATAGCAGTATAATGAGGAACATGAAAAGCAATTTACACAATATTGGTAAATTCAATCTCTTTATGCACCAATGACTCTAATTTAACTAGTAATTCAAAACCTTCAAATTCCTGGGTCTAGCATGTCAGTAACTGTTAAGTCATAAAGGGTCTGTGTTTTGAAGTTGTCAACATGGGTCAGCTTTAATAATAGTAAAGCTATGATTATCATCTTCAAAAATCACCTGCCGACCAGCCACTGTGAGCTGCATGGGGACAGCAAGCAGGGTGTCAAAGAGGAAGTGATTTATGCAGAAATTGGCAGTCGACCCAATGGGAAGGAAAAAGGCAAAGGGAAGAAAAGCTCAGGAACCTGTGGAATGATTCTGCTTACTTGAGTGTGAAAAGACAAGAGAGTTCTTCCTACAACTATGGCCCTTTGACTTTGGAGAAATCATTCCACCACTCTGAGCTTCAGTCTCTTCCTTTGTGTTATGAGGGCATAGAAAGAAATTATCTCTAAGATGAATGCCCAAAAAACCCCCACAAAAACCAAAAACCAAAAAACCCTTTCACTGTTCTTCAGTCTCACTTTGTATTTACACAGGGATTGCTATGCACTGATGTGAACTAGGTCCTCTGCACCGTGCAACTTGCCAATTCCATCACCATCAGATATTTCACAGCATCTTCTTTTTTACAATGTCAGAAAATAGACTGCACAGCGCATTTAAAGCCTTCAGTAAGTAAGGGGTTATAGCATCAGGCTGATGTCTGGTTAGTCACTGAAGCTTTGCAGCTTGTCACTTGTCAGCTGTTTGAAGAACGCATTCATGACCCAGGAAAGTTTCCTACTTTCTTCCATGAAAAGCAAGCATATTAGCAAAACTTAAAAACAGCTTTCCAACTAAATGAAATGCTTGATAATGTCATAATTATTATGATTTTAAATGGGGATGCCATTTCTGGAATACATCATATGTAAAATTTTAATGGAAGTGCTAAATGTCAAAAGATTTTTTTTTCCAGAAAATATTGATGGAATACCTCTTATTTGAAGGAAACTTTGTTTTAATCCTAATCTTAAGGAATTTTTAAGTTAGTAGGGGGGAATAAATCATACACATAGTTAATTCTAATGTGAAACAGAAAGGTAAATGCCATAGAAAGACACAGGTAAATCAAGATGGATAGAATTTCAGAGGAGGAAGAGAGATTATGTCCAGCTGTCCAGACAGAGATGGTTAAGGGAAGCTTATGGGGTACATGGCATCAAAGGCTGTTCGGATCCTGAACTCAAGAATTGGGATGGAAGGGGAGGGCTTTCTTGGTGGAGGAAACAGAATGAGCAAAGTCCTAGTGGCATGGAAAATTTGGAGTGTGTATAGAGAAGAGTAAAAAGTGAAATTTGATGGTATTGTTATCTCCAGGTGGAAGATGCATGGGATAAAAATCAAAATGATGGACAAGATCTAGAAGGCCAAGGCCTCGAATGCGGACCTAAGGAGACTGCACTTTATTCTACAGACAGCTGAGAACCATATAGGATTTTTGAGCAATTATTTAGTTGATTAGCACTCATCTCTCCCTATTTTAGGGGACAAAGGTAATCCTGTAGTTTAAAATTTATTATAATTTCTCACTCAACACGTGAACAAAATTCTAAGCAACCTTTTCGTACATCACCCAATGAATTGGAAAGGATTTCAAATTTTTGGGTTTGAAACTCTAAGGGAGAAGATTTCCTCCATTGCTTTACTATTTATTTGGGGTTGGAAGAGCAGTAGCCCCATTAAGATGTTGGAATGAAAGCTGCACACATGAAGGTCCCAGGAATTCCAACTGTCTGGGACAGAGAATGTGACAAGAACTTTATTCACTGCCCTACCAGCATCCCAATTTCAGGCCTTCTGAACATCAGGGCTTAGCTTTAGACCCTTAAGCACAGCCCTTGGCCTTCCTACCTGATTGTTCTTGGGAACTGGCACTAAATCTACATTCTGTATATGAAAACAGAACACCAATTCAGCACAGTGTTCCCTTTGTGGCTGAGTGTGTGTGTGTGTGTGCCCACATGTGCATGCACATTCATATGCAAACATATAAATATACACCCATTACACAAAATGGTGATGGCACATACCATTATCTTCTGGTTATGCCTGTTATAGCTTATTGTTATTTTGTAGTGAAAGCTATATTTTTCCTAAATGGTTTGTGAGCATCTTGAGAGCAGGCCCACCATATTGTATTATGAATCCAGCCAATACTCAATTAGTATTTACTGATCAATATATTTAAGCCAAGTCCTGCAGCTTCCAGCACATGGTGAATTTCCTTCTATGATCAGGTGAACAGCTGATTAACACACTTGGTCTAACAGGACAAAAACATGATGGTTTCTATTTTTCTTTAGATCCGCGAAAGGCAAGATAGCTTATTTTTTTAAAAGCCCCTGAGATAAATGAATTTATCATATGAAAGCAATCTATCAATATGTGTGTGTGTGTGTGCGTGCATGCGTGAAACCCGCCTGCTTGCAACTGCAAAATGCAGAAGTCATGTGTTGAATATTAAATACAGGTGGTGTTAACAAATGCACAGAGTTCATCAATCAGCATGATTTTCATGTGTTATGCCTGACACTTACCTCAATAAAGAAAATGCTGGCTGCTGACGTTGGATGATGATACATATAGACGGTCACGAGAATGGCTGCTACTATAATGAGGACCAGGATGAGAATTCCAACAATGAGGCCAGCATGAAGGGTGCCCCCTTTCTTCTCGGCTGCACTGTCATCTGTAGAAGCTGAAAGAACAGCACAGCTGTCAGAACATTCATGTGTGTGCTTTTAGGTTTGCATTTTCATTACAGGGGATGTTTACAGTTTTAATAAAGTACCATTAGAATTTTTTCTTTTACTTTCTGTACAACTCTTCTTTTCCATGACACCAATTTTAGAAGTTAGATACTCTTCATTTGGGCAATGAAAATTCCATGCTATTAATGATTAAAAATACTTTGTAATTGTTTTAATTTATAGTTCAATAAACAAAATTAACAGCCTTTATTCTAAAAGTACTATGCAAAATCTAAAACTCTAATTAACTATATAATAAATTTAACTTTGATTTTTCTCATTAAACCACTGGCACTTTTACCTATGGAAAAATTGATTACTGTTTGAAAGTTCCTCTCTCATTTTCTTCTGGAAATTTTATATTGAAGAGTATAATGCTTCTTTTGGTGGGCTAGATAGGCATTTTCAGAAAGTCTATGCATGAGTTCAAAGGCTAGTTTTCAAAATCTGTTTTAAACTGAAATGCTCTTTAAAAGAGTAACAGATGGTTGCTAAATGACCCTCAAATAGTTTTATCACCATCTGAAGAGAATACATAGCATATCAAAATATTCCACGATGCCACAAACCAGTATCATTTAGTCTGACTTTTACTGAGATGTTTTCCACTGTAATACCTATTTTCAGAGAATCAGGAAAAAGAAATTAAATTTCTAAAGTGATAATTATCCAACTCAAAGCAGTCAACCAAATAAAGCTAATCTCTAAAGTCTTCTCTTGTTCTAAAATTCTGCAATCTTCGATGACTACTCAGGTATTTAAAGATCTTAAATTATGTGCAGCAGGTAACCATGTTTATGTGCATACTATGATTGATATTTTTGAACCATTAGAAAATTACTTAATATTCATAAAAGTTCTACAGCAGTGATTCCTAATCTTTTCATTACTAATTTGCATCTTTATTTTAAACATTATTTTTGTCTGTTGAATCTCATTTAAAAAACACTGATTTATTTATCTTATTTTAGATTTTTGCTAATAAAAAGCATCCATGACTGCCTCTCAGAATGTGTGGTCAATGTGCAATAACAGAATTCCAGATAAAGCAAAGAAACGTGACTTCCCAATTCTTCCAGCCCATCTTTTACATTTTTGTTGTTATTGTTTGTTTGTTATTTGCTTGAGACCCATAGTTGGTGTTTGGTAATTCTTCTCCAAATCTAATAAAGCTCAATATCCTAAAGCTTTCCCTTACATAACTAAAATTCATTATTGAAAGAATATACAATTTAAACAGTAATTCATTCTATAAAAATTCACTCACAGAGAGGATTCTGGGAAGAAGGAAGAGTATGAAGTATCAGGAATCTGTCTCCTACATAGACAACAATTGCATTGGCAGAATGTGTCTGACAATTATCTTGGCACTTTGGACTCTATCGAAGGCTTGCAACTTTCAGGAGAAAGGCTTGTACTGTAAATTGTGGTTAATTTCAGTCAATGTTAATTCTTAGCATAATAGTGGCTACCCATCCTCCACCCCTCAGTCATGTGGCAGGCAGCTGCATATACGTTCCTGAAGTAGCCTGCAGGAGCCAGGGCAGGCAAAAAGTACCCTGTCCTCCAGAGATCAGGGATCTGTGTTCTGACCACTGATTGGTGCTTGTCATCACAGAGGCACAAAGATGGAGCCATTGGTTTCTCCTACCTTTCTCCATTGTTGCAAGCCCTTCCCCCTCTGGCTGAAGTAATTTCCAAGGGATTTAAAGAGCCAGGGCTCTTTTCACCATCCCCCACTTCATTTTTCTCTTTTTCCACTTTTGGGAGCTAGATAGTAAAGACTAGGACATTCAAAAACAACTGCATGTATGGGGGAAAATTAGACAGTGAGTGTATATGCCCAGGAAATGGCTCAGAAAAGAACTGAAAAGACAGTAAGATTACACCTCAGGCTGATCCTCAGCATAGAGACAGTATGCAGCAGCAACAACAACAACAAAGAAGACAATCAACAATAACAAAAATAATATCAAAAAGCAGCAAGCCCTGGGGAAGGGCAGGGGGAGAATCTGATTTCTGGAGTTACCACATTATTAGATTCAAATGTCCAGTTTTTAACAAAAATTCACAAAATATGCAAAGAAACAGGAAAGTATAGCTTATTCAAAGGGAAAAAAAATCAACAGAAACTGTTCCTGAAAAAGAACTGATGGCAGTACAATAGAGTTTAAAACAACTGTCTTGAAGATGCTCAAAGAATCAAAAGAAGATGGGGAGAGAGTCAAGAAAACAATGTGTGAACAAGATGGAAATATCAATACAGAGATAGAAAACCTAAAAAGAAAGCAAAAAGAAATTCTGGAGCTGAAAAATACAATAACTGAAATGAAAAATTCACTAGAGGGATTCAAAGGCAGATTTGAGCAGGCAGAACAAAGAACCAGTGGACTTGGAAGACAGGACAGTGGAAATCATTGACTTTGAGGGACAGAAAGAAAAAGAGCCAAGGGGCCATTAAGTAGATCAACATGCACACTGCAGGAGTCCAGGAAGGAGGGACAGAGAGAGGGGGAGAGAGAATATTTTAAGAAATAATGGCCGAAAACGTCCCAGATTTAATGAAAGACATGAAGATAAACATCCAAGAAGCTCAAGGAACTCCAGTAAGATGAAGTCAAAAAGACCCACACCAAGATGCATTATAACCAAACTTTTGAAAGACAAACTCAAAGAGAGAATCCCTAAGATAACAAGAAAGAAAATAGCTATAATCCAGACAAAAGGCAAGTAATATTTATTTATTTATTTATTCATTCATTTATTTGAGAGAGAACGAGAGAGTGGGGGGTGGAGAGGAAGAGAGAGAATCTCAAGCAGACTCCACACTGAACATGGAGCCTGATGCGGGGCTTGCTCTCACTACCTTGAGAGATCTGACCTGAGCCAAAATCAAGAGTTGGACGTTTAACTGACTGAGCCACCCAGGCGCCCCTGTTTATTTATTTATTTATTAGAGAGAGAGAGCACAAAAGCCAAGGAATTTAAACATTCCCTACAAAAAAATAAACTAAACACGAAAGAAGACAGTAATGCTGGAGGCACATAGAAACAAATAGCAAAAATGTTGGAATTAAACCCTTCCTTATCAGTAATCGTTTTACATTTAAATGGATTAAAGTCTCCAATCAAAAGACACAGACTTTCAGAAAGAATAAAAACACAAGATCCAACTATATGCTGACTATACGATACTAACTTCGGATACAAATAGATTGTAAGTGAAAGTATAAAAAAATATATTCCATGCAAATAGTAACTAAAAGACAGCAGAGGTAACTATACTAATGTCAGACTAAATAGATTTCCAATCCAAAAGGTTATGAGACAAAGAAGCGCACCAAGTATTAATAAAAGGTTTCAATACAGTAAGAAGATATAACAATTATAAACATTTACATATCTAATGACAAAGCATCAAAAAATATGAAGCAAAAACTGACAGAATTGAAGGGAGAAACAGACGTTTCTGTAATAATAGTTGGAAATTTCAATATCCCACTTTCAATATTGGAAAGAACAACCAGACAGAAGACAAGTAAAAAAAGAGGACTTACCACAATAAACCAACTAGATCGAACAGACATATACAGAACACTCTACCCAATGACAACATACAATTCTTCTCAAGTGTGCATGGAAGACCTTTTAGGGTAGACCATATGTTAGGCCACAAATTAAGTCTCAACAGGTGTAAAAAAATAGATATCATACAAAGAAGTTTCTCCATCCACAGTGGGATGGAGTTAAGAAATCAGTAACAGAAATAAAACTGGAAATTCACAAATTTGTGGAAATTAAGCAACACACTCTTGACCAACGAATGTATCATCATGAAATCACAAGGGAAATTAGATATGAATGAAAACAAAAACACAAAAACCAAAACTTGGGCGCTACAGCAAAAGCAGGGCTAAGGAGAGAATTTACAGCCATTAATGCTTACGTTAAGAACAAGAAAGATCTCGAATCTATGACCTAACTTTACAAGTTAAGGAACTAGAAGGAAAAAAACAAACTAAACCTGAAGCTAGCAGAAGGAAGAAAATAATCAAGATGAGAGCAGAGATAAGCAAAATAAAGAATAAAAGAAATAATAGAGAAAATTAATGAAAATTGGTTCTTTGAAAAAATCAACGAAATTGGAATGGGGACTCACACACTAGCAGTCTAGCCTCAGAGTCTGCACCCTGAGCCTCTGATCCCTAACCCCTCAACTGACACTGAACTGTATGTACTGCTATTTCTTCTTACTTCATGTTATCAATTCTGGCAAAGAATTCTAAAAAATCCTTGGTAATTTCAAAGAAGAAAAATTAACTTAAATATGGTTAAAGGATTAACATTGTGCCTTCAAGAGGGCAGGGGCTGTGTCTGACTTGTCACTTCTCTGGGACTATGTCTGCTGTCATATGCACTGAAAATCCATGTTTGTCAGAAGGGATGGAGGGAGAGAGGAGGAAGAAAAAAGAAAAATAAACCTGTTGAAAATGGGTTACAGCTCTTGGAATCCAATAAAATACCACTTCTCCAATAAAAATCAAACAAGGTTATAATAAATTACTTTATCTGGTCTTCAGTTATCTTATCTCTGCAGTGGAGTCAGTAACAGTAACTACCCCATAGGAGTGCTGTGAGAATTAACCATTGAACACATATAAAATGCTTAGGAGGGTAGCTGGTATATGATAAGCACCTAATTAATATAGCCATTGTATTATTACTTCTAATATGAGGCAGGTTGAGGCAAATGATGGTGTCTGATTCATGACACCATATAAATTATGTTTTTGCCCTTAACATTTGTTACTTTTAAAGTTTGGCTTTATTCTTAAGTATGCTTGTATCTTTGTACTTTGTGCACTTGGATTTTTTCTTATTTTTAAAAGTATGATACATTACTGTCATGGGAAAACAGGATTAATTTAAAATGTTGCTTTGGAGAAGA